AGGTCTGAATATTCCCAACAACAGAAATGACAAACTGTGTTTAATGTTTTAAGGTCAGAGAGGTTGGGTTTAACAGCGTTTAGAGTCCAGCTAAGCTTCGTTTCAGCGCACGTTTGTGACGCCGCTCGGTTTGCCCGAGGAGCGCTGCAGGAACACTGGAGACGTCTTTGTTCGTCTCCGAGTTTGGATCTGAACTGTTTGCATGATTTTGGATCAGATGATCGCTCTCGTGTCTGCGCACCGATAACGGGGTCACGGACTTGAAGACACTTCAGGCCGTGTGGGCGTGGCCACCGTCACATAACCCGCTGGTTTCTGCATTTTGAAGCTTTTTTTTGCTTCATTTTGGGTTTTCGGAGCCAGATATGACCATATTTGGGCATCGATAGACATCGTATGGGCATTTTAATATAGGCGTGTATGTGGAGTGAGCCCCGTGTGGACGTCAGAGGAACTGCATGATCAGGCTTACTGTAATCTGTGTGTTATTGATCTGGTCTGGAGCGTGTTTGTATTTAATCGCTTTGCTGAGCAGTTACTGAAGAGTTAGCTCTTCTCTCTCTCTGTTCTTGTGTTTCAGGCTGGCTCCGCCCACGTCCGGATCCGCCGCGACGCCAACGAACAGCTGGTTCTGGCTCACGTCACCAACCGGCTGCTGCCGCTCGTCTCCACGCTGACCGTGCAGATCTTCAAAGACGACTGGTCCCGGCCCCTCCTCACCGGGGCCCTCTCCTCCTCCTCGTCCTCCTCGCCCGCTGCCTCCCCGCTGGGTGCTGCCGATGGCTACGCCGCCCTCGCCTCATCGCTGCCTCCTCTGCTCTTGTCCCCGGGAGGAGAGTTCGACCCGCTGACCTCCACCCCCTCCAAACCCACCAGCCCCCCTCCGGAGTTTTCCTTCGACACTCCGGGGAGGAACGTGCAGCCGATGGTCCTCGCCGCTTTGGGACACCACACCCACAGGCCGTACGGAGGCCTGGGACTCTCCTACGGGTCGACCCCCTACACAGGGATGCTGAATCAGGGCCTGGCGCGGCCTGGTGGCGGGATGGGACTGGGCACACAGGGTCTGGGGGTCGGGCTCGGACTGGGCGTGGGCAGCGGCGGCGGGCCGTCCTCTCAGAGCTACAGAACTGCGTTTGGCGGGTCGACGGCGCCGCTGCGCTTCGGAAACCCTCTGGCTTCACAGTCGCAGTACCGACAGTACCGGCCGTGACCGCTCCGGCGGGTTCAGGACTTTCGGGTACTCGAAATTCATTTGTGACGGTCGGCTCCTCGGGAACGTCGAGTCAGGCAGCGGCGTCACAGCATCGACGACGGCGCCAGTTTCTGGTGTTAGATGTCGATGACTTCAGAGGAGCGATGGTGGTGATGTATTTATTGTCCGGACGAGGAGACCACCACGTATCTTTGAGTGCTTTCTTTGTTATGGGACTGATCGCGAGGTTTGGCGGTTAGAAAGTGGCGTGCTCGTACTTTGTAAGCTTTTTTTTCCTGCAAACATTCCTTAAAAAAATAAAAGTCTTTGAGTCTGAATCCTTTAAGAGTTTGATGTTTAATATTTCCAGCATTGCGTGAAACAAGTATCACAGCGAACTCCACGTCTCACCCGAGATTCACCAAACATCAGAAATCCTCGTTTATCTTTTCGTTTGAGTCGTTTTCATGCAGATTTTATTAACGAAGAACTTCCTCACAGACCGACTTCGTCCAGCGTGGTGGAGCTCCGCGTCACGGGGCAAAGGTGAGACCTAAGTGATCAGGAAACTTCCCAGATCTTTATCCGGTCCATAAATCTGCTCAGTCCATCAACTATTAAACTTTAAACACCATCAGTGACTCCGCCCCTGTATGAGGTTTCCCGCGTCCTGGCGTGTGGGGATGATGAGGAGGAGGAGACCAGCTTTTATTTAGGCGGGTCCTAATCAGGAAATCAGGGCTGCACATCCCCAACAGACGAGCTCACAGAGAGGCCATGAGGCTTTGGGTACAGTCGCACAAATCAGCTCCTCTTCCTCCTCGCTGTCCTTCAGTTTCAGGAGGTCGAGGGAATGTTTGAAGGAGAACAGAGTGAAGCCAAAAGAACTCAAACAGTTCCTAATGACACTAAATGTTGGGCTGTGACGCCTCTGCTCCAGTCGTTAAAAACAAATCGTTGAAGTTCTGAAGTCCGAGCCAGGAAAACTTTCATCCTAAATTTGATGTTTTCTGAGGTTGGAAGTTGACTGAAGACATTCTTGACTCTTCTCAACATCTGAAGCTTCGTCTGATTTTGTGAACATGAGCCGAGCTCGTTGGAATCCTCATCGTGTCCTGTAGGACGCTGGTGACCTTCTGACCTCTCAGCTTCTGCCTGATGATCCTCTGTCTGTACTGAGACAGCCCGTCCTCTCTCACGCCCAATACAAACACAGACAGGTCCCCATTGGTTCACCTGACCCCCTCAGAATCAGCTGATTTTTTTAGATTAATAACTTTATTATATTTAATAAATCCAAAGTTTTACCTTCATACTATGAATATTCTACAGGACCTCCATTTAGTACTTTTAAATTATGCTTCCAGCTGTTTTGACTGCTCTGCTGAACTTCATAACGACGGCAGAAAAACACGTTTAAAGTTACTTATTTTCAAAACGAATTAGTTACTTAGTTACTCTTTAAAAGCATGATACACAACCTGAGTACGTAATAAAGACAGACCTTCCAGCCCAGTTCTATTTTTCTGCATCATATAAACTGAATCAAATGAAAACGTCTCCTTTTAAAACTTTTATTTCGTTTTATTAGTTTTAATCTTTTAACAAAAATTAATCAAGCAAAAATTAAACTATATGCAAGAAGAAATGTGTTTAACATTTAAACCTATTGTCTGCATATTCCAGCATATAAAATAAAATAAAACACTGTTTTGTGTTTACACTCTTTCAAATAGATGCGAGTAAAACACAGCAGAAAATAAATAAAATCAAAGACTGAGCAGCTCTTAAATCTGTTGTCACCTGTTTGGCAGGAGTGGGGCGGGTGGAGGTTTGCCCACAGCGGGCGTGTCAGTGGGGGGGATCCGGGGGTTTCTCTGTGAATGTCACGTTCCCGTGGCAGCGTGCTCGCCGCTCGCTCAGATTTGAAGTTTCATTTTTCGCTGTAGAAACAAGTTTTCTTCCCGCGCAGAGTGAACAGCGGACGCTAATGTTTGTCACTTTTTACTGGATCAAACTTAAATTAAGGTCATCTTCCAGCTGTGATCCCATCTGCGTCCGGATCATTTTGTGATGTGGAGCTCATGGACCTGTTAGGTCCTGAACAGTTTTCAAAACCCTGGAAGCATCAGAGGGTCTGAGGACGCCGCTGTGGCGTGTCCTCACTTCATCTTGTTTCTGCTGTCACATCCAACGAGGCCGACGCCACAAAGCGTGCTCAGCCACACGCTTGCATTTTAATGGATGACACACTTTAGCGACTTTGCTGCAACTGGTCATTATTTTGTCCCCTGCAATTACGTTACCCTCTCGGCCCTCGGTTCGCCGCCCTCGCATCCTCATCAGCCCAGAAAATATTCAAATGAGTGAGAGACGCTGCGGGCCGGCGAATGAGAATGAAGCGAGGAGACAGCTTTGAGGCCGGCGGAGTCGCAACGTGTTAGGAGGCCAACAGACTCCTGACCCCGTTACTGAGGGACCCGCCTGGTCTCCAAAAACCGCTAATAGGCCCAAGTTTCGCTGTTTTTCCAGCTCGGCGCACATTGATCACTGTGTTTGTTCAAATCCAACGATGGGGAGAAGATTGGGCACGGAGGGAAGCTCGCCGTTTTCCCAGGAGTTTACTAAAGAGGTGCGTGTTCAAAACTTTGTCCCAGAATGTGCCAAACGCGACCAAATGTTTACCGACACACTCGTCCCCTCTCGGGCTCCTCCTGCGGTAAACGCAGTGATGCTCGTCTCTCACAGAAACGCATCACTGAGCCTCACGCAAACTGACAAAAGCATTTCCTTCCCCATGAAACATTCACACGTTTTACTCGGAGCTTCATGTTTCCTCTGTGATCAGGATCCTTGCAGGGCTCGGCTCAAATCTGAGGAGTCTCAAATACATGAGACACAGCTCTCCACCAAATGAAACTTTATCATAAATTTCAGCAGCAGAAGTAAAACACTGAGGATAGATGACATGCTCGAGTCCATCTTTGAGACATAAAACTCACTGAAGAGGCAGCTGATCACCTCCTTATGTCCTCAGCACAACGCCTCTCACCTTTCAGAAGAACAAAGGTGTGCCTATTTTTGTAGAATCTGAATGTGTCAGAAACACTGAGCAGGGTTCAAAGCTCCACTTTGCTGCCTCTTAAACTGGCCTAGTTTGGTTCACGTTTTCAGTTCTGCTGCAGACTCAACAATCTGACTTTAGTTCGAATGCAAAGACTGTACATAAAAGATGGGGATCCCGCTTCCACGCTATCATCATGAGGTCACTCACTGGTTTCTTGGCTTCAGATTTTGAAGCCACTGCATTTGTATTTTGGCCTCAAACGTTTGCCCACATGGTGTGGAAGCTATCTGCTAATGCTAGCTTGCATGGGATGCAAAGTGTTAGCCTGTATGGATACATCACACAGATAACGGCAAGACCTTCTTTGAAATGTGACACAAAGGAGATATTTTGTCATCTACTGACCCATCCATCCACCCTAACCACCTCTGTCCCTTTTTCAAGTCACCACTAGAGGGCAGTGTCACTTGATGGTAAACTTTAGGCTGTACATAAAAGGCTGAAGTCTGAACAGTAGTGCTCTGGATAATGCCAGAAGGGACTACATTCAGCACCCGAGGGTAAAGTGCTAATGCTAGCACGCTCTATTAAGAAGATGTACTAATAAACTGTAATTGTGCATCACACAGGCACAGATGTGGTTAAGATACTGATATGAAACTGGACATAAACATCAGTTTCCTGTTCAAGTGCATCGGCTCCATCAACCTGACCTCCCCCCCATCCTTCAGTCATTGTTACAGCTATCATTAGAGGGTGTGTCTTAAAAATATAAGCTGTAAATAAATGATGGCTGTAGCTACTGTGACATCATTGGTTTAAGTATTGTGGTCATCACCGTCCTGGTTTTAGCAAGACAGGTAAAGCACTAAGTTATCAGGTAATGCTAGTGATGTCAGTCAAAGAGGCCACGCCCCTATTAGCGCAAATGTTAAGCTTTAATACAATTTAAGCTTTCTCCACCTGTACAGGTGTTACAAAGGTGGTAATTACCCATAGAGACGAAGCAGTTTGTGTGTCAGGCTGTAAACATGTTTATTTCTGGTCTATGGGGACTGACTCACTGCTGGTGCCTCTGCTGGACGTTAGAGGAACTGCAGCTTTTCCTTCCTCATTGGCTTCATCTTTCAGGATTTGATGTTTGGTTTTGCCGAGCCCACAGCTGCGCTTTCTGTTGTTCTAATGAGCTTTGGAGCCTCGTTTTTTGGATGATGTGTCAAATTGTTGGAGCTAACAAGTCGCACAGCGTCGCTCGTATTTCCCCCCAACACACACTCGCAGAAGCTGGAACCCGTTTAAGTGCCTCTTCTGAAGAATTTCATTTCCTCTCCAAAGGAGGATAATCCCTCCTCTGGTTTTGTTCTGCGGCTTTCAGAGGAGATTTTGACCAAACAATCAAAGAAGTACTTTTCCTTGGAAAGCTTAGCGGGAGCTTCTGCTCCCTCAGCGCTGGATGTGCTCAACAGTCATTAAGCCTGTAACGAGGTCCTGCAGCATTTCAAAGTCCGGAGTGGCAGCGTTTTTATGAGTGTTGACTTCACACGCTTGTTACAAAACAAATGGTATTGAGCTTTTGTAATCTGTGACCAAAATCCCCGCCAAATGAACAGGATCAGTGCAGCGCCGCTGCTTTCTGGGTCAAATCTGACACCGCCGAGGTCGACGCTGCCCGCCCCACGGTCAGCTCAGGTCACATCGGCCGACTGCGTACACGCAACCTAACGAGGAAAGTAGAAGTACATTTACTCGAGTATTGCTTGCTGACGTTCCACTACTCTTTCAGGAGGGCGGAGTCAGGATCTCACCTTAAAAAACCAAACAAGCTGAAAAAAAAATAGATTTCTGACATTTAAATTGTCAGATCTGGACAAATCTCTTGGCCCTCTTATTAGAGATTAAATGAGCGACCATGATGATATTTATAGGCAGTGTTGGAGGGTTTATGCAGAAGCAAACACCTGCTGATGTAATGTACAGGCAGAGTGAAGATCTCTTTACTTCGAGCGCACCTGTTTGGTCTCCTTC